TGAGGTCCGCGCAGACTACTTGGATCCGCGCTGGACCCCCCTCCCTGGCGCGCGCAGCGCGCCAGAGGCGGCGCCGGAGGCGCCGCCCGGGGGCCCCAGCGCCGATCCGAGACATCCGCGCGGACCTCCGAGTTGGCATGTTTATGTCATTGCTCGTTCCCCTACAGCCGACAATATGATCAAGAACGTGATCATTTCAAATACTTAGGCCGGCTTTCCAGAAGTGTCTTGAAACAAAGCTGGGCCAAGTGCTCGTGTGAACGCTGGAGGGCGACACGCGCTCAAGAGACTGGGCAAGCTCCCCAACAAGTTGGTTCAGAAACGCTGGACCAGCTTGTCGGGAGGAAATTTCTTAACCATACCCTCGACTGTATTCTTTCCGTTTGAGCAGGGACCGACCGTCCCGGCATTCCTATAGTCCTACCACGAAATGTTCCTAGAACCCCCAATTTTTCTAAGAACGAAAACAATGTTCTTAGAACATAGCAACCGATGTGCTGAAACAGGACAGACTCCGCCAGACATGTTCTAAGAACATTTCGCGGGACCTTCGAACACTGTTTGGTAGGGCTATAGGCGAGCCAGGACGCTCCGCCACCGCTTGACGTGTCGATCGTTCCGAACCTCTGGCGCCTCGCCCTCCCCGCCGGAAGCCGACGCGGGCGAGGCGGCGCGGCCGCGCGCGGCGCGGCGGCGCGCCGCGGGGCCGCGTGCCGCGCGGCGGGCCGGCATCGCGCGACAGCGGGGCGGCCGCGCGTCGCCGCGCCGCGGCCGGGGGCACCGCGGGCGCCCCGTCGGCCGGCCTCGGGGCCGAAGGGGCCTCTCGCGCGGCTGAGGGCCGCCTCGTGCTCCCCCTCCTCGTCCCCCTCCTCCTCCTCCTCCCCTCCTCCTCCTCCTCCTCCTCCTCTTCTTCTTCTCCTTCCTCCTCCTCCTCCTCCGCCTCCTCCACTTCCTCCTTTTCCTCCTCCTCTTCCTCCTCCTCCCCCTCGTGTTCCTCATCGTGCGCCTGTTCCTGCCGCCTTGTGTTCGTGTTTCTCGGGGGTGGTGGGAAGGATACTCGTAGAGTAGAGCTGGCGCGGGAGCAGGTGGAGGAGCAACGGCATGAGCGGAGATCTGGCGAGCAGAATCGAGCGGATCATCGCGCCCCGCCCACTCCCAGCTTCCCCCCGAAACACTCGAACCGATGTTGGCACACGGGGATTTGGGGGCTGGCCCAACGGAGCGAGTTCGGACGCCGTCGCGTGTTCGTCGGCCTCGGGCAAACTCGGGCCGCGCACAGGCGGGAGCGGAAAAAACAATTTCGCGAGGCGCGTCCACGAGAGCACTCTCCGAGCCCCTCGCGCGCGCTCAAAACTCCGATGGCGGCAGCGAATAAAAACATGCGACGAACGGAAGAGACAATGCCACCTTCACTCGAAATCTGCGCGCCACTTCCGCGAAAGCAGAATTCGCCCGCTCGGACGCTCGGGCGAGACGGCCTTCCGCACCGTCGCCCGCTGCCGAGCCCCCCAACATTGACAGAGCGACGGGAAGCGTCACTCTCGGGCGAGATCAGCGTGGCGTTCCAGCGGGCCACAACAAAATCAATGTTTTCCTCAAACAAATCCTTCTCACAAAACAAATTGCCGTCATGATGCGAATCCGAACGTGCTATCAGGACCGTGCACTTGTCGTCTATTTGGGGGCCCCGTCCCCTGAAGGTGGCGGACGTGTCGAACGGGAGCATCGACCGTGAATGCATTGCGAGGACCTCTCAGGCGGGAGCCCTTCCCTACGGATGGGGTCCGCAATTCATGTTACTCGAATCGCGTTCTGAATCCAAGCGGGACACACGAACCCTGTAATCCCACCAGCCCTTTGGGCGTGAGTGGTTTAGAGAGCTCTCTCTGTCCTCAACCCCCCTTCTTCCCCTTCGGGGAGGGGTTTACCCCTCCCCCTACCCCCTCCCCCTGGGCCTGGAGAGGGAGTCCCGAGCGGTGTCAGGGGGTCAATTTCGACTCCTGGGAGGTCTAAAAAACGACGACCCTCACGAGGATTCTGGCCCCGACGGGGGGACCGAGTTTGGCCCCTCTGCTCTTCTTTGAAGCCAAAAACATTGATTTTACTAAGGTTTGGGCACCATTTCGGCCTCCTGAGGGGGCCGCGCTCATCTTCCTTCATAGCAAAATCATTGATTTTACGAAGGTGTTGGGCTCATTTTGACCTTCTCAGGGGGCAGCCCTCATTTGCGCTTCTGAGGAGGTCGCAAGAGGCCCCAAGATGGCCCCAAGAGGCACCCAGGAGGCTCCCAAGAGGCCTCCGAGGCCCCCCAGAGGCTCCCAAGCGGCCCCAAGAGGCCCCCAAGAGGCCCCCACGAGGCCCCCAAGAGGCCCCAAGAGGCCCCAAGAGGCCCCCAAGAGGCTCCCCAGAGGCCCCCAAGAGGCCCCCAAGAGGCCCCAAGAGGCTCCAAGAGGCCCCCAAGAGGCCCCACGAAGAGCCCGAACGACTCACACCAGGACGAGGGGCCCGAACGACTCACACCACGAAGAGCCCGAACGACTCACACCACACGGAGGGGCCCGAACGACTCACACCAGGACGAGGCGCCCGAACGACTCACACCACGAGGAGCCCGAACGACTCACACCACGACGCGGGCCCCGAACGACTCACACCACGAGGAGCCCGAACGAGTCACACCAGGAGGAGGGGCCCGAACGACTCACACCAGGATGAGGGGCCCGAACAACTCACACCACGAGAAGCCCGAACGACTCACACCAGGACGAAGAGCCCGAACGACTCACACCACGAAGAGCCCGAACGACTCACACCAGGAAGAAGGGCCCGAACGACTCCCACCAGGACGAGAAACCCCAAACGACTCAAATCACGAGGAGCGTTTTCTCTCCCTCCTCCTCCGCCTCGTCCTTCTCCCGCTCCCCCCACAAGGAGGATGTACAGGGAGGCGGGAGGAAGGAGGAACAGGGGAGATATGCGGGGCCAAGCGGACACATGCCTGAAAAACACGACTGTCGGCATGCTTCGCGAGAATTGCTGCTGCGAGATGGGCTGGTGGGGATACGCGAAGCGTAAAGAATTGTCGTCGGGCTTGGGTTCCTCGGTTTTAGACATGGTGGACGTCTCGACCAGGACTGCGAGGCAGTGAGCTGTATGTGGGCGTTTCTCATGTATCCTATGTGGGTGAATTGCGAGGCAGTCTCAGGCGGGAGCCCCATGTAGGGCCCGAGTCCCACGTTAGGAATACGATCGGGTCATCGGAGCCTTGTAGCTAATCATTTGGAGCGGGAGCCGTTTTGCGGGTGCCTCGTCTGTGAGTGAATTGCGAGCGTATGAGGCCCGCAACTCATGTTACGAATCCGACTGGGACTTCGGAAACGTGTGCCTGTCGTCACTCCTGGCCTCTCGAAACTTGAGTATTGGAAAGATCTGAATCGGAAGAGTTTCTCAAGGCTCAGAAAAGTCTCAGGCGGGAGCCCCTTCCTCATGGCGGGAAAGTCTCAGGCGGGAGCCCCTTCCTCATGGGGCCCGCAGCTCACGCTACCAATCCGAATGGGTCATAGGAGCCCTGTAATAGTTGTCGTCGCTGCAGGCCTCTCGAAGCTTGAACGTGGCGGACGTTTCGAACGGGAGCCTCGTCTGTGACCGACGCACAACGCATGTAAAACATGCTCATCCTGCGGCCATCCAGCGAAAGTTCCTTGACCGCGGGACCCTGGAATTCCTGCGGATGGCGCTCAGCGGAAACTTCCAGGGCTTCACGCTGCAGAGCTGGGCTTCATGCTGCTTGCCGCCTGAGCGCGGCGGCGAGAAGCTCCAGACCTGCGGGTTTGTCCAACGGCTTGCTCCCGCGGGCCATCGGCCCAAGGGGCTGTCCCAACGGCCTGGCCCACGGGGTAGACCCAGCGGCTTCGAGATTTGGCCATCGGGGAACGCGCCCGTGTTGGCCGGGGCGGCAACGCCGCCAAGGAAAACCGACTTGCGCGCCCTTGCAAGGAAAGGGGCAGGGGGGTGGATGGGAGAGGAGATTTAGGAGAACGAGGAAGAGGCAGAGCAGGAGGCGGGAAGAGGGCATCCGCCAAGGCGAAAAGGAGAAGGGAGATGAGGAGACGGCTGGAGGAGCCTCTGCACTCACAAGGACGGCGATGAAGTTTACTCCCAGATTCTCTGGTTGGCGATTATCATGCGGGGTCCTACCGTCAGAGTATGTGTGTCTGTGTTCGCGTCTGCTGTGTATTCCACACATACAGCCACTTGTTCACTTGTGATATCACTTTTGTTTTTGTGTTCACTTCTGTATTCTACATAGATGAATTTAGACTTTCAAAATAAAGACACACAACATGCGTTAGCTGTCGGGTGCTGGTCCCACGGCACGCGCGTATTGACGAGGTTCTCCCACTGGACACCACTCGACCGACTGCACAACGCCAACGAGAACCACGCGTAATGCACCTTGGAACTCCGACTCTCTGACCTCGGAGTCTCACAGACCCCCCCCGCTGGAGCCTGAGCCCGTCGCGCGGCTGTCCGCGTCGAATACACATGCAACGCATGTCGAATTCGCATCGAATCCGCGTCGAATCCGCGCGGCATCCGAGCCGAATCCACACCAAATCCACGCGGAGCCCTCGCCGAACCCGCGTCGGATGTAAGAGCAGACCACTGTGAAGAGCAGGCGAGGTCCCCAGGCTGCAACGCAACCGCAATTCTCCCGGCTGTCGCTGGCCTCGGGCTCAGGCTCAGACCTGCACAATGCACGACGGCGGGGGCGCTGCCAGCGGGCGCCCTGGCGCCAGGGTGTGGCACACGAGCGGCGACGGTATCTGCGCCAGTCGGCGGCGGCATCCCAGGGCGGTGCTGCAGGGGAAGAGGGGAAGGGACGCCCGAGGGGAGCGAGGGACAGCCGACACGCGAGGCCGAGAGGCGAGGCCGAGGGCAAGAGAGAATTGTGGCCGGCTGGCCTGAAGGTGGCCCCGCGGCTTCCGCCCCCCCCTCGCCCGCGGGAGCCTGCGCCCTCGAGGCGGATGCCCGCGTAGCGCTGGCTGAAGTGCGTCAGCAGCACGCCCCGGGCGCGCATCCGCCGGGAGACCTGCGCGAGGAGGGCGCTCCGAGGGGTCTCCTAGTCCTCCCCACACTCCCCCCTCCTCCTCCTACCCCTCCTCCACCTCGAGATTCCACCACCACCTCCTCCTCCTCCTCCTCCTCCTCCTCCTCCTCCTCCTCCTCCTCTTCCTCCTCCTCCACCTCCTCCGCCTCCTCCGCCTCCTCATCCTCCGCCTCCGCCTCCTCCTCCTCCGCCTCCTACTCGGCAGGCGAGGCTCCGGGCTGCGCCGAGACAAGCCCCCCCAGGCGGTCCCAGCCGGCCTCGGCACGCGCCCGCGATCGTCCCCAGCGGGCCTCCACAGGGAACCCGAGTGGTCCAAGGCGGTCTCGGCACCCCGGGGCCCCCTCAAGCGGCGGCCCTGGGTCGGGGCGACGTAAGACTCGGGTACGGGGGACTCGGGTTGGCCGGACGGGGGCCATCATCAAAAAGGACGAGGCCCCATCTGAAACTCGACGCGGGCCGCCGCTGCAGACATCTCACGACAACTGGCCCGTCCAAAGTCCAGGGCGCGCTCGTCAAAAGACTGCGGCCAACCCGAGCTCCAGCTTCCTCGAGCCCTACGTTTCCCCGGCTCGGGCGCCCCAGGCCCTGGGGCCCCGGGGTGTCGAGCCCGCCCTGGGACTACTCGGGGGGGCTGCTGAGGCCAGCTTGAGGTCGAGCATGTCCTCCTACAGGCAGAATTTGGGAGGAAACATGGCAAATAGTCAAACTACATTTAAGAATCGCCAGCAAAATTATAAGCAAACTGTCCCCTGATTATTCTAAAACGATGTTTGAATGTTCCTCCTGTAGCCCGACTGAAGGCCAGCTGGGACTGCATGGGGAAGAGGAAGTGGAAGTGGGAGTGGCTGCCTCCCCGCAAGGGCCCGCGAGAGGCGCAGCTCGGCGCGTGCCGCCTCCGTGCGCGAGGAACCACGCGACGACATGCTCGACCCTGGCTGCCCACCGATCCCGGTCCACGGCCCTGCTTTGTCCAAGACCGGGGATCTGCTGACCCGGGTCAATCCAGACCCGGGTCAGTCAGGCCTTGCAGGATCCTGCAAGATCCTGCACCCAAGCCTGGGTCAACGCGAAGGATCCCGCATGATCCTGCAGCATCCCGCACCCAAACCCGGGTCAATGCGACCCTGGCCCTGCAGGCTCCTGCAAGATCGGGCGCTCTGGCTGGCACCCGTTTGCACTGACCCCCGTCTCTTGAGCCTCGACCAGAATCGATGTCTGAAGGGGCCCTGGGACACACAAACAAATACACACAAATAAAACGGTTCCCTATATTTTCCCAGAGTCTCTTGAGCTTTGACCAGAATCTATGTCGTTGCCGTTAGGTCGGGCGTGTCCCCCTACAGGGGGATTTTCGACGAAAAATAATAGTCCAGAGACTAGTTTGGGGCATTTTTGGGGTATGTTTGGGGTATTGTTGACTACGTTTTGAGTATTGTTTGACCTTTTTCGTGTATTTTTGAGGTATTTTTTATTTTTCGTCGAAAATCCCCATGTAGGGGGACAGGCCCAACTTAACGTTGCCGGCACGAACACGCCAAACTGCTCGGGGGGGGGGGGAGGACGTGCGCAGCCGGAGGCCGCAGCAGGCACGACGACCCCCTGCCTCCGGCTCTGCACGCAGTCGACCCGTTCGCGAGCCGTGCGGCAGGAAAATTGGGAGGCAACTGCTGGGAGGTTTTCGTCGAAAAGATTACAGGGCAATTTTAACACATGTGATCTTCAAAATATGGGATGTTCAATACATGATTAATTCATGAATGCATCTACGCATGGACTCATCGTTGTGTTCAATACTAACTCCCTGCATTTTAAATACATGATCCGCACGCGGAGCATGTATAAAAAAACGGCACTGTAAGCATGATTAAGCCCCATTTGGGAGCTGTTATGCTGGAGTGGGCCTCGGACAAAGCAGGATCAAGCCGGATTGCGCGGCATTATAAGCGGGACTCAGCGGGATTAGCCCGGATTGAGCCAGATTTCGGACCAGGGCAGAAACAGACTTTGAACTCCCAGGAGTTGCATCGGAAGGAAAAGGAGTGCTGGCTGCACAGGAAGCGGCCATCTGAGATCGGAGAGTTCACTCGGTCATCTGTGAGGTCAAAGGGGGGATCCAGGTTGCTTACCAAGTGCTTTCAGGATTGGCTGTCCATGCACTGCAAAACGCTGGTGCCTGAAAACTGCACTCGAAGCCTCATCAGGACTACCGGCTTCAAACGATCAGCTGGGGCCAAACAGGGCGGTATGCGAAGGGGCTGGGGCGTCCGTTCTCGACATGGCTTGCGTTCAGGTAGCCCCCCCCCACCCAGGGTGATATATTCCCAAGTCTGGTGAAACCAAAGGGTACCGACACCGCTACTCCCCAGACCAATCCCGGGGTGCGAGCTGACCAGGATTTCGAGGCGAATTCAGCGGTGGCGACGCGGGCCTCCCAGGAGGCCCCCGAAGGCGAAAACGGGGGAAGGGTAGCGGTATGGGTACCTTGCTCCTCCTCCGAGAGCTTCCTCTGTGTTAGGAGCAGCAGCCTCCTGGAGGCGCACGGTGCGGTATGGGTACCGCGTTTCTCCTCCGAGTTCCCTCTGTTTTATGAGCAGCAGTCTCCTGGCGGCGCACTCAGAGAATCGGGGGGTCGAGGGGGGGGGCATCGCCTGCGAAAGGGGCCGCAGGCACTCGAGACCGGAATCGAATCGACAACTCGGATTCGCGATCAAAGGATCGACAACATTCGACAACTCCAATCGACGATCGGCAACTCGATCGATCGAAGTGACTCCGATCGGCAGACAACTCGGCAGCCAGGTCGAGAGAGGTCGCAGGATTGGGCGGAAAATGCCGACAGGCCAAGCAAGGCCCCCACATGATGGAGCCACCGGAGCCCAGGTCGGCATCCAGAGTCGCATCGAGCCCGGACCGGCGGCCGTTCGGGACGACCCGGGCACCCCTGGAACGCATTCGACGATCGGGCCGGGCGAAAGGGGGGGATAGCAAAGGGGGGGTTTGAGAATCAGCTCACGTAGCTGATTTTCCCGGCGCCTCCCGGCGCCGGGAAGCGGCACCCCGCCGTCGGAGGAGCGCAGAGGACCGCCGACGGCACCCTGCACACCTCGAGGTCCTCGCGCCCGAGACAGCTGGGCTCTGCGGAGGGTCGATGGCCGAGCCCTTGGCGGGGGCACGAAGTGAGCGGCCCGCCGCCCAAACTGAAGAGGCCCTAGGACACACAAATAAATACACACAAATAAAAGGACTTCCCAATATTTTCCCATATTTTATGGGTTTCTGCCTTCCCCCCCACTATCCATATTTTCCCATATTTTCTGGGTAGTCGACGATGAATTGTGTCTGCGTGTTTTTTTCCCTCCTGACAAACAAGTGGGCCACCGCCTCGGCGTCACCGGTCCCCCCTCCCAGTCGCCGGCAGCGGCACGTCTGCGGGGCCACACCTCTCTGGGAGGCTGCGCGCGGCCACGGGGGGGGAGGCCGCCTCCCCTCGGGTTCGGGCTCGCGGCAATCGCTACCCGGCGGTCGCGGTGCCCGTCGTGCGAGGTCCGAGGCTCGCGGCGGCTCCAGGGGGCGGCGGCGAACGAGGGGGGGGGGGAAGGGAGAAGGAGGAAGGACTCAAGACGCCCAGGAGGCCCCCAGGATGGGCCCCAAATGCCACCGAGAGATCCCCGAGACTGCTCAAGATGGCCCGCAAGTGCTCCCAGAGGCCTTAATAAGACGCCCCCGAGGGCCCCGAGATGGCCTCACAACTTCCCCAAGCGTCTCAGGCTGACTCTGAGCCTGGGTGGCCGGCGGCAGACGGCTCAACCCCCAAGATATATCTCCCATCGGCGGCGAGGCAGAATCACTGCACCACCGACAGAGCTCTAAACGGAGGCACCGAAAAGCGAATTGGCCAGCGTGCAGGAGAAGGGAGAGGACGGACAGGGCGGCCGCGGACGGGGAAAGAAACAGGGCCACTCGACCCCTGAAATACACAAAACTGTCCAGTATTAGGTCGGGCGTGTCATCCTGCAGGGGAATTTAGGACGAACGATAGAAATTTACCAAACAATATTCCGAAGCAGCCAATGAATGTAGAAAAATTGTCCCCAGACTGTTTTTTGTATGATTATTGAATATCCCTCCTGTAGAGGGACATGCCCGACTTAAGCCCAAAATCGGCCCCTCCGAACAACCCGCGGGCGGCCGGTCGCCAACACAAAATCGGCCCGGCTCCTCGTCGCCATCTGCACAGGGGGCGTCCCGCAGTCGGCCGCGGGGCCACCGTCCGCGGGACCCGAGGGCCGTTGAACCAGGAGGCCGAAGTGCGAAGGCCCCCATGAAAAGAGGAGGAGGAGGAGGAGGAGGAGGAGGAGGAGAAGGGAGGAGAGGAGAGGAGAGGAGAGGAGAGGAGAGGAGAGGAGAGGAGAGGAGAGGAGAGGAGATGAGACGGCGCGTCGAGACAGTCGAGACGGAAGGGACCAGCCCACTATAGCACAGCGCTAGGGCGAGCTCACCCAACGCGCGGGCCAGCTCACACCTTAGAAGTGGGTGGAGACACCCCCAGCCACGACTCCCAGAGAGAGGGGAGGCTGAGGGGGGCTCTCAGCAGACCTGCGCGACCAGGAGGGCGGGTCCCTTTGAGGAGGAGGAGGAGGAGCAGGAGGAGGAGGAGGAGGAGGAGGTCGCCACTGGCAGGGACAACCCCCCGCGCCTGCGAAGCGGGCGTCTGGCTATATAGGCCAGGAAAACGTGTGCACACCGATCGTGGGCGCCCAGAATGTGTCCTCGCCGGGATCTGGATCGGTGAGGGTGAACAGGTTGTGAGGGGGCCCAGGGACACAAAACACACACACACACACACACAGAAATCCCAGGATTCCTCCCAACAAATAATATCTCTTGGAATTCAGTTTTCCCGCCCACTTCCTATAGTTTCTTCTTTTTTATATGGGGAATAGACCATCAATTGTGTCTTTGCGTTTCCCCCCTCCTGAAGTTTAGAGCAACCCATTGCACCCTGGCAGGAGAACAGAGAGAGAGAGAGAGATAGAGTTGGAGAGAACATGATACCGAACTTCATATACAAGAGAGCATGCAACAAACAACGCGGAAACACGTGCGAGAGACCACACGGGAAAGGAGACGGGAGAACATGCCATAGATCATACGGGCAACCTTACTTACGGATGATCATGAGA